TAACTTAAAAATGGCCCCAAATTCCAGAAGCAGTGATGCTTGAAATTTTATTTCAAAATCCCATTATATGTCTTGAGTTTTTTTAGTCTCTTGATATTCATGATTCCTAGGGAAAATGTGTAGTAGACTCAGGGTTTGGTACTGTTTGTGGTTGCCGGTACCACTGGTCCAGGAGTGTAGCGCCCAAGGATGAAGAGGGACTAATGTCAGATTTTGAAGCAGGAATTGAAATAAGTACAGCATCTATTATAACTGCAATTCTAAGGAAAGATACTACTATTTAAATATAAATATAAAATATAAATATATGTATATAATACTTTATAACCCAGAAGATAGAGTTAAAAAAGCAGAAATTACTAAATTCATCTGAAACCAATTATTCTATAATTATCCATTTTTCACTAATGAAAAGCTGCTAGAAAGAGAATTCCATGTCTCTAAGAGTACAGTTTGGTTTCAACAATAAATCCTGTTTCATTTTATTGAAATCATTTGAATAGTCTCTGTTTGTCTCTATGTGTTCCCATGCTATACATTTGACTAGTACAATGATTCCTTCTCCTCACTCCTGTCCCACTGTAATCATTACAAAGAAAATTAAAATAAGTTATCCCCATATAATTTTAAAGAAAATATCATTCATTTATAAACTGTGAAAAGCTTTTTAAGAGGTTTTAGTTGTCTTAACAGGCCCGGATCAGGGCTTCTCAAACCCTGATGTGTAAATGAGCTCTTGTGTTGGACCTGGTGGGTCTGAGAATGCACATTGACCCCACACTCACCATCCGTGATGGCTTATGATACAGTTCAGGAGACGGTGACGTCAAGTACATCCCAGCCCTTCTGAGTTTGTATTAAGGGTCTCAAGCAAGTGGTCTGCATTTTGCAAGTGCCCCGGAGTTATGGATTGTTCATTTTCCATTCTAATATGTTTTGTTTAGCTCTTTTGACAGCAAGTTTGTTTACCAGCAAAGAGGCCTTGGACCAATTGAAGAAGATACCATTCTAGTCATAGATCCAAACAACGCTGCAATACTCCAGTCCAGTGGGAAGAACCTGTGAGTAAAATGGCTTACCCGCTATTCAAACTGGCCCAGTTGTGCTGGGATATAAAGTGATCGTTGGGTAGGGAGTGTCCCACAAGACTACCCTTAAGCGGGAGATGAATTAGGCCATTCATTTGTTCATTTTCTAAACAAGTGGTTCTGAAACTTAACTGAATGTTAGAGTCATCTGTGAAGCTCAGACATTCCATACATACAGAAAATTGGCCATTTGTGTGTCTTCTCTCGAAATTACTAAGGGACCATTTTATACTACAAAAAGTCTTGGGTGTCCTAGATGGTTAGCTTGATTTTTTAAAATATTTTCCCCTTTTTTAACTTTTTTTTAAGTTTTATTTATTTATTACATATACAGTGTTCTGCCTACATGCCAGAAGAGGGCACCAGATTGAATTGTAGATGGTTATGAGCCACCGTGTGGTTGCTGGGAATTGAACTCAGGACCTCTGGAAGAGCAGTCAGTGCTCTTAACCTCTCAGCCATCCCTCCAGCCCCCTTTTTTTAACTTTTTGATTACATTTTTATTCCAACCACAATTCTCTCACCCACCCTCACCTCCCCCTAACCCACTCCAGTCCATTTCTCCTCATGGGTAAGGGCTCCCATGAGGAGTTAACATAGCCTGGCTCACTAGGTAGTGGCAGAGCCCGGTCCCTCCCCCATGCATTAAGACTGAGAATGGCATCCCATCACAGGGAGTAGGCTCCAACTAGCTAGCTCATGTACAGGGATTATATCATGGTCTTACTGCCTGCACTGGGCATGGCATCTGTCAGCCTGATTTAAACACCATGGGTTGCATGCATGTGTCTTACCATACTTACAAGCAGTATTCATTTGTCAGTTTATATTTTTTCTATTTCATTTAAAAATTCATTTTCCATTTTACATATCAACCCCAGTTCCCCCTCCCTCCCCTTCTCCTGCCCCCTTCACTTTCCCTCTTCCCATCCCCCCATCCACTCCTCAGAGAGGTTAAGACCTTCCTTGGGGAGTCAACAAAGTCTGGCATACCAAGTTGAAGTCCCTCCCCCTTCTATCAAGGCTGAGCAAGGTATCCCACCATAGGAAGTATCTCCAAAACAGCCAATTCATGCACCTAGGATAAGTCCTGGTGCCACTGCCAGAGACCCCCTCCTGAAGAGTGGCTTGATCAGCTTATATTTTTTTAAAAATTCCATTCTGGCTTTTTCTGGGCTATGGCTAATGCTATTACAACGTTCCAGGTGACTACACAGTCAGAATTGAGACAGCCATTGATATGTATAATGAAGTCAGCTGTTGGTCATTAGACTGATAGTTTAAAAAAACAATTCCATAGCATAAAAATTATATACTCAGTTTACCAACTAATCAATGATAAGAATAAAAGACTTTGTTCTCTTCCCATCAAAAAGTGAAGACTAACCAAATACCATTTTTAGCCTTCTCTGAGCTTGCACATATAATTTGGATCTGAAAGCCAGTCATTATTTGGTCTGATTCCTAGATGGCATTTGGCAGGCAAAAGCACTTGGCTGATATTCATGGTCATTGGAAGAAAGGGACACCTGCTTACAGAGTTACCCTGACCCATTAGAACCTGGCAGCATCCAGGGCTGTGCCCCCCGCTCCATCTGCTTATGCCCAGGGAAGGCCAGCCTCTCTGAAAGGCAGCTAGCCTCTGCCTTGAATGCAGCTACTAATAGAGGTTGCTGTAATGAAGCTTAGTTTTGTAAATAGTATCTTCAGATAAGTCCGGGGCCAAATTATAATAGCATCTCTACGGTGTGTTTGAGCCCATGTCTTCCAAGCTGTAGCCATTCATCAGAGGCATCCTCATCCCAGAACATGGGAAGGTAGAGCAACTGCTGCTAAGTCAACTTGGCCAGCTATCAGGTGTCAGTACTGCAAGCAAATCATAAACCCGCTTGCAGTGGCCAAAGCAGGCATCTAGGTCAGACAATTAGTGAAGATCAAAGTGTTATGCACTTGGCTCATGAAAAAAAAATACCCCACTAAGGCTAGAGGCTGACAAAAACAACTTGGATTCTCAGATGGCATCTGAATGGGACCACCTTAGTCTATTTCCGTGTGATAACTAACTCTGTGCAGGGTTTTCAACCCTGGGGCCTCTATCCGAATCCGTTGCACATCCTCAACAGACTGACATTTTCTGTGACTGTTCATCTCGCCACTGTGCCTGGAGTGTCACAGCCCTTCTGGAAGTTACTTTCCTTATGGGTCATCATCTTCCATAGCCATTCTTGGCCTTCCAAGTGACCCCTAAGAGGTTGTGTATGATTGGACTGGAGAGATAGCTCAGTTGGTAATGATCTTGCCATAAGGACCCAGAATCCACATACAAGCTGGACAGAGTCACATGGCTAACTCTAGTGCTGGGACCAGATGGGATGGGGGACAGAGACAGGAGGACCCCTGGGACTATCTGGCCAGCCAGGCTAACCACATTCAATGTGAGGCGCTTTCTTAAAAACTAAGATGGAGAGTGATCAAAACAGACACCTGATATCATTCTCTGGATGACACATGTATATGTTCACACATCATGATCACTCACATACAGAAATGCCCATAACACTATATTTTCTTTATATTTTAACTATTCACACTATTTGAAATCCACTGTTATTTCTCAAGGCAATTTGTTTGATGCATATTCTGAAACTTACTATTTATTATCTGAAAACTTACTTTTCATTAGATGTTATTTATGCTGCTTGTAAAGCATACTTTATTATAATCTTACATAAACTTAATTTATAGATCTTAATATGGTTGGTTAACTTGTGCTTAAGCATTGTCACAAGGAGGTCTCTAATGTTCTAACAGGTTATCTTTATTTAACAATTCATCTTTGGTATTTTCTATCATGAAACAAAATACCATTGTTATTTTATAGAAGTGTATTGCTCCATGGTTTAATTACAACTAAGTTCCTCTCATGTGCTTGGAGAGCTGTAACTGATATGATCTTTACATTTCAGGTTTTATTTACCACATGGCTTGAGCATAGATAAAGATGGAAACTATTGGGTCACAGATGTGGCTCTTCATCAGGTGAGCTTCCTACTGGGCGGTGTCCAAATAGAAGCTGAAATGGGTCAGTTTTCAACTAAGGGACAGTCATAGCTTAGTAAGTTCTGTGGGCTGTTATAGAGTACCATAGACTCAGTGGCTTGCGAGCAAATTCATTTCTCACAGATCTAAATTCTGGGCATCTGAGATCAGGGTACCAGCATGATAGCATTCTGCTGAGGGTCATTTCCTGGATTTCAGACAGCCATCTCCTCAATATATTCTTTCATGGAGAAGGCAAAGAGAGCAAGCTCTTGTATCTCCTCTCCCAAAGGTACCAACCTTTCTCATGGGTTCCACCATGATAGCCTGTGTTTCCTCTGGCAAAGACATCAACCTTTCTCATAGATTTCACTGTGATCACCAGTTCCTTCCTGCTCCCGTGACAATAGAAGTTAGGATTCTTATATATGAATTGAGAAGATACCAGTGTTCAGTCTATATCAATCCCCTCCTCAACATTTTTCTTTTTGAATTCTGCTAGGAAAAGTCAGCATGTTATGAGGTCTGTCTCCTGCCTTGGATGCTAACAGCCAGATACAGAGTTTCCCTGTGATAGCTACAGCCCTTCATTTTCTGAACTGCCCAATATGTCCTTTGTTCTTAGGTCTTATTCCCCCCTTCCTTTTATTTTGACTTATCTTTTATGAGTTTTTTTTCCTAAGCCATGTTAATTTTCTATAACGCCAAGCAAAGTCTCTATTAAGTATATAAAGAAAATCAAACTTTTGTCCTTTTCAAAAGATACTGTACTTACTGCCTTATACCCACGTAAGATAAGTTTGTTAAATGTGATGATGGTGGTACAGAATTAGGAAAACTAGGGAGGAGAATCCCAGAGCTCCAAAGACTCACCCCTGAGTCCTTAACGTGTTCTCTCAAGGAGTTTCAGACATCCTTGGGTGAATCCCTGTGCCTCATGTGCTATCTGATCATTGTAGCATTACCTAAGGAAGACCAAAAGGAAGTGGAGATGAATGAAATGTTCAAATACCGTCCCTATTTGCTATTTATTAAGTGTGTGGCTTTGGGAAAATAACTTAATTTCCATATGTCTAATTCTGATACGAGGAATTAGACCAGATGATTTCTAAGGCCCCATCTAATTTTAAATGCATATTCTTTGGAATAAACCTCCTGTCTTCCATTTATATTCTTATTGCTTGTTCAAATGATCTTTATCATGTGTGTCAGCAATTATCAGGAAAAGTAGATTAAGCTCTTTTCTTTTTTAAAACAAACAGGTGTTCAAACTGGACCCACATAGCAAAGAAGGCCCTCTCTTAATTCTGGGAAGGAGCATGCAACCGGGCAGTGACCAAAACCATTTCTGCCAGCCCACTGATGTGGCTGTGGACCCCAGCACTGGAGATGTCTTCGTGTCAGATGGTTACTGCAACAGTCGCATTGTGCAGTTTTCACCAAGCGGAAAGTTCATCACCCAGTGGGGAGAAGGTACCCACCACCACTCTTGATCTCTAACCAGAATTCTGAGTCAGTAGAACCAAAATCCAGACATGGGCTTGGTTTTCCCCTCACAGAAAATCCGTAATAAATGGCTTATTTACATGAATTTGAAAACTTGAACAGCTGTGATGTCAAACTTTGAAAGACTGTATAAACCATGTATCTGTGGTCTTTCTTTGTTCCGTAGAATCTTCCAGGGGCACTCCTAAGCCAGGCCAGTTCAGTGTTCCTCACAGTTTGGCCCTTGTGCCTCATTTGGGCCAGCTGTGTGTGGCAGACAGGGAAAACGGCCGGATCCAGTGTTTCAGAACTGACACCAAAGAATTTGTGAGAGAGATTAAACATGCCTCATTTGGGAGAAATGTGTTCGCAATTTCATATATACCAGGTATTTTGTTATTGTGTGCTTTGTTTAACTGTATTCTGCCCTTAACAGCTATTTTTACTCAATGTGCTTTTCAAATAACCTTGTTTTTATTAGTAAATTCAAGATACTTTGTATATCAGAGCTGAAACATCTTAAAACTATTACTGCATTGTAAATCATTTCAACTCAAATGTCACTATCCCTTTTGCAGAAATAATGAAGACTCCAAAAGAAGTTAACAGCTGTTTGTATTGGTTTAAAATGTTCCCAACCACTGATTCCTTTTTACTTACAATCATCTGATCTTGCTATTAAATGATTAGTATTGCCTTCACACCATCAAGGGATGGCATATGTCTGATAGAATTGTATTCAAACTATTTCTGTTCCATGTTTTCTGAAAAAGTACTGGCTGTCTTAGTTAGGCAACTCTTATAAAAGAGAACATTTAATTGGTGTTGGCTAGCGGTTCAGAGGTTTAGTCCATTATTGTCATGGCAGGAATCATGGTGGTATGCAGGCAGACATGGTTCTAGAAAGATAGCTGAGAGTTCTATACCTGCATCCATAGAAAGCAGGAAGAGCACAGTGACACTGGGCCTGGCTTGAGCATTGAAATCTCAAAACCCACAGCCAGTGAAACTCTTCCTCCAACAAAGCCACACCTCCCAACAAGGCCACACCTCCTAATAGTGCCAATGCCTATGAACTTGTGGCAGTCATTTTCATTCCAACCACCCTGGCCAATTTATTTAAAACAGATTAAAATGCAAAGTAATAGAGGTTTGTATCTAAATGCCAGGAGAAACCACCAATAAAGTCTTGATTTCTTTAACATTTTTATGTAAATTGTCATGGTTTAAAAAGTATTTCCAGGGCAGTGATGGTGCAAGCCTTTAATCCCTAAATTCAAGAGGCAGAGGCAGGTGAATCTTCGTGAGTTGGAGGCCAGTCTGGTCTACAGAATGAGTTTCAGGATAGCCAGAGCTGTTGCACAGAGAAGCCCTGTCTTGAAAAGCCAAAAAAATTTTTTAATGATTCCAAACTTATAAAATAAGATGTGCATAATTCACATTATGAAATAAGCTACCATAAGAGTTTTGAATGTATATTAACCAATTTAATATTTTAAGTAAAAGTTTCTGCAAATCTTGAAATATATTATAAAATGTATCTAACTTTCTGTTAACATACATTTGACTGTACTCCTCACTTTAATACCTACACATCTTAGGTCATTAAGACATGAAATAAAAAGGCTCAGATGACTAGATGGGGAACAAGGGTGTATTCCCTGAGAAATGTACAAAAAAAGAGACCCTTGTGATGTCAACAAAAGCAACGTTCTGTAGTTGGCTTTGCTTCACATTCAAAGAAGTAATTTTCCAAGATCACTCAGTTAGTAAGGAAGGTGACTAAGTACATATAGTAATTTTAAAATCTGGAAAAAGTTATGAGCAGAACGTAAGCAAGAGCCAGTGTCTTTACAGACTTCTGTAGCAATAACTGCTTCTCAGGGCGGGTTGTATTAAACACATGCATGCCAGGCAATCACTCGACCTCTGAGCTATCCTCTCAGCCTCTTCTTAGGCGTACTCATTAATAACAGTCTTTGAACATGTGTTACTCAAGCCCCTGAATGGTTTGTGGAAGTCATCACCCTTTCCACTGTTACACTTTCACACAAAGAAATACAGTATTATTGCAAAGTATGTCCACAAGAAGGTGCTCCCTTTCCTCCTCCTGTGACCGTGTATCTTTACCCGTCTGAAATGCAGATCTCATGTTAACAAGCTGGAGTTCCCCAAGATCAGATTATTTCTCCTGGGTACTGCAACCCCTCCTTATCCCTTCTTTATATTCTCCTCTTATTCTTGCTGTAGTGAGGCAGATACAACGTAGTTTTTCAATATGATCAGATGTTCCAAATGATCGGCTGTAATAATTTGACTTTCCCCTCGTTCCTACTGAGGATACCTATCTAACCCTATGTGCCAGGACGCGTGTTTATCAGCAGTTATACATACTGATTTCTTATGACTTCCTAAGTGGAATAGGCCCTCCAGTTTCTGATTTTCTTACTACAATAAGGTTAGTCATCAAATAAGTTTGGCCCACATCTGGTAAATCACAGGATAATATTTACTACATAATTTTCATTGTTGTTGGCAAATATAGGGACCATCTTGATTCTAACTATATTGCTTATTTGGGTAATGTTTGTTACTTCCATGTCAAAGCCAATCTTAATCTATGTTTTAAAGAAAGACTACTTCTCTTGTCCCAGGTTTACTCTTTGCAGTAAATGGGAAGCCTTACTTTGGAGACCACGAACCTGTGCAAGGCTTTGTGATGAACTTTTCCAGTGGGGAAATTATAGATGTCTTCAAGCCAGTACGCAAGGTACTTACATAAGCTGCCTAGATTTTAATTTTTATGAGAAAATTAAAATATAAATATTGACATTCAATTTTATTTTTAAACCTAGAAGATGTGATAACTTTCTTAGCTGAGTTGGCAGTCATATTTCATTGTGATGACTATAATAAATATGGAAGAGGGGACTCATGGGAGGAAGAGAGGGATGAAAGGGGGTGGGAGGGGTATGAGTAAGCTTGGGGGCAAGAATAATATATATATATATTCATATATAGTATACATATATGAAAATGCCAGAGGAGAAGCTTAATAATCAATTTTTTAAAGGTAGAAGACATATGAAAGCAAATGTAAATAGAAATAAGACCTGAAACACCAAAATAAACAGCCCTGAAAATAATGAGCAACTTACGAGTTTCAGCTTTTAAAGGAATTGCAACTCAGTGTACTCTCGGTGCCTAGAGTGACTGCTAGTAGTCAGGACGCTATGAATGACAGCCTTTGGCTAGCGTGGCTCACTCTCTCTGAGTTGTGTGCCTTGCCTCATGGCCCTGCCATTGCACGGTGCGTTTACGTGAAGCCTCCCGATGACGACCCGCGTCTTTTCATTGGCAGCACTTTGACATGCCACACGACGTCGTCGCCTCTAACGATGGGAATGTTTACATTGGAGACGCGCACGCGAACACGGTGTGGAAGTTCACCCTGACTGAAAGTACGTTGTCGCGCTTTCTGATTTGTTTGTTCTTTATCGTGCTTTCTGATTTGTTTGTTCTTTACAGGCATTTTTAAGCTACAGCCTTCGTCTGGTTCATTGTCATGGGAAACAGAAGCATTTGCTTTTGTCCACTTTACTTTTAGCACCAGGAATAGGGAATCGGGGTGTAAGGGAGTTTGGGTTTGGGGTTCAAGGTTAGCACATGTCTAGCGTCTTTGGTTTTCTATTCCCTGTACTACAAAGGACAGGGGAAATGAAGAAGGGTGAGCGAGGATGGGGGGAGGACGAAGGAGGGTCCTTCCTTATTTGGCATCTACTTCAGGAATGAAAATAATTTCTTAAATGTGGACAGAGAGGGGTTTTTTTTTTCCTGGCAGTCATCGCCTTGTTTTCGGAGACACTCCACAGGAAATGTTTGGTGTGTGAAGTAATGTCTGTTACATTAAAATCCCTGTTAACTCCAGCTTGGTTACAGAAGAAAGAGACAGCTTTGGCAAAGGAGAGGTTGACTTGTTGCCACAAGACATCATCCCATGTGGCGCTGAGCTCTTTCTAGTCCTGAGCATGGAGGGACACCAGCGTCCTTGTATGACATGTTATCGTCCCAGCAGAGTCACTTTCTGCTTTCCGTTTAGGCCTCCTCAGCCTTCCCCCCGAATACTGAGCTGCTGTATTTTTATTTAACTCAGAACATGAAAAGAACAGATTCGCTCAATTAGAATCTAGCCAGCTAGTGGATGATTTGTTAGGTTTTAGAGTTGCGAGTGGGGAAGGAAATTCAAGGGAACAGTGAGATAGATGACTTTATGTCAGGCTTATTGGGGAGACTCAGGGGGACATTGAGATGGATTACTGGAGAGTGAGGAGTTTGTTAGGAAAGTTATTAGTTCCGTGGACAGAGAGGCAGCAGCATGCCATGGAGGATGGGGAGAGTTCAAGCCCCAGCACGAGAGACAGACAACGGTGGAGTCTCTGAAGATACGAAGCAGGGGCATTGTGGCACAATTGGGGTCTGCTCTTGTAGCTGTCTAAAGATGGCCCAGCCAGGGTCTCATAATCCCAGGCAAGAGGCTGAGAAAAGGGCAGAGAGAAGGATATGTGGCCAACATCCCTTTTAATGCTAACTCACTTAGCAGATGAGAACTGGTCCCAGGAATATTCTGTTAGCCGGGGCCCACAGTAGGTGCCTGTTAGTATCTGTCAGAAGAGATTGCTGCAGATACTGTGGCCTGAGCCGAGGCTGGATACTGGTGCTGAAATCTTCACTAATATTAGGATTCATTAAATTATATTGGCCTAGTCCCTGGTTTCAGACTGTGAGTCAAAATTTCCCTTAACTGAAGTTCACTAAATGTTTACTTGCCCAAAATTTCAATATCTAGAGATGCTTTTTAAATACATTGGGGTCTAAGCAACAGGAGATAGTGTTAATAAGTAAAGGAATTAGGGAAGATAAATTTGAGGTATCACAAGCTGCAGCAGATACTAATAGCCAAAGAATTAATGATGACATGAAAACTTGATGAATAAAGTGATGCTAATTGTAACAACATAACTTCAAGTTATAACAAGGAAAGAAGACAAATTAAGAAGTAAAACCAAAAGTCTAGAACCTTTAATCAGATATAATGTAGGTTTTACATCTCAGTTCAGCCAGTGCTTATATTTACTAACTTTTGAGTTTTAAATTAATCTTTGAGTAACTTTACTGTTCTGAAATTAGGACCCAATTAGAGTACAGTGAATACAGAATCAACTATTAGGCATCTTTGCACAGATGTGATAGAAATATAAAAACTTGCTTTGCCTCGTGATTTCAGTTCCTGGTTGTTTGGGCAGAGCATCACAGCAGCGGCACAAGGGAGCATATGGCTGAGAAGCAGAGACGGGATGGAGGGGCGGGCCACACTGAAACATAGTCCTGGGACATGCATCTTCAGACCTGCATCTTCTGAGGCTCTGCCACCTGTTTATCACCCTGCAGTCAAGCTACCATAGTAATCCCATACTGCAAGCAATGCATGATTAAGTCAGAGCCCTCATGACCTATGTGCGTCTGGAAATGCGCACACAGACACACCCACAGCATACTTTGTTTCTCTCATAGGCATTTCTTAATCCGGTGAGGATTGTGGCCGAGCCTCTGGCCTGTCCTACCCCCAGAAGTCCCTTTGCCTGTCCCTGTAAGCGATGCATTCTGCACTTGTGTTTCCAGCAAGGGACCTGCAGGCATGGGCAGACCAAAGTAAAAGAAAAGGCAGACACATAATCCTCAAGTGACTGGCCAAGTTAGGGTTTTTAGAACAACAACAAAACAGGTTAAATACCATTTTAAAGGTCGAAAAGACCATATAAGGAGAAAAAGGAATACTAATATGTGTGTCTTGAAAACTCTTCTCTAAGTGGTTTTGATACAACCTCTGATGGCTGATTAAAAAAGCGAGACAGCGTAGCATAAAACCTCAAGATGATAAAAAAAATGTTTCTGTAGAGTCCAGACCACAATAAACTGGAGAAGACACAAGAAGACTGCCTGTGTTTGCCATCTAGTGTTTCCTCAAGCCCGTAGGAGACTGCTGCCCTACGTGTCTTCGCTGTTGCTGTGCTAGACTTTGACAGACACTAACCCGGTGGGGCTGGATGTTTAGCTGACATGTCCACGTCACTGAGGGAAAGCCACATGGAGACCTGGAAGCAAGAACCTAAATGGAGACCACAGAAGGATGCTCCTCACGGGCTTGCTCTCCACACCGTGCTCAGCCTGCTTTCTCACATAACCCAGGATCACCCACCCAAGGGTGTCACTGCCCACAGTGGCCTTGAACCTCCCACGTCAATCTCTGATGAAGAAAATGCCCTACTGACACCGGGCCAAGCTGAGGGAGCCATTCTTCCACAGAGGTTCCTTCTCCCCGAGTAACACTAGTTTCTAGGCGTCAGGGACAAAGCTAAGCAGTGCAACTGTATTGTAGCTCAGCTGTGTTCTACAATCATGCACCTTCTTCCCAGTGAGAAATCACTCCACACACTTAGAGATTAATGGAGCTCTCTAATTATACCAGATGACTGGTTCTGGCTAATGCACAAAGGGGAACCGGCCTGGAATGGAGAGTTTTACCGGTCTGTGTAGGCCCTTGGTTTATCTGTTCCACAGGCAGCGTCGTTCAATCTCTTTTAAGTCTCCGTCCCAGGTTAGACTTTGGACAATTTAAACAGAGACAGAACACTACAAGAATGGCTGCTTGGGTTAATGGGAAATTCACATAGCAAAGATACTGTTAGAATTGTTCTTAACTGTACCAGTGTTGCTGTTTTTCTGATAGGTGTTTCCTAGGATCCACCCTGCACACCTGGCAGAGTTATGTTTTTTCTTGTAAGAGCACAGGGGATGATGGCAGGTGACGACAGTTTAAAGGTGGCTGTGGCCCTGCACCGTTTCCATGAGATGCCCACTAGAGGCATATTCTTTGATAACGGGGATGGCCTCATTGGCCTGTTGTAAGTCAAGTTTGTCTCCTTCTGCTGTGGGAAGGGAACCTCACTGGAGGTGAAGCCTGGGGAAAGAACATCAGCAGAAGTCTTTCCTCAGCAACCCTAAAATAAACTTCAGCAGTTTCCAACAGGCCTGCTCAGAGCCCTGCTTACCTCCCAGGCTTATCAGAGTCAGCCCTCCTTTAATTAAATTTTACTTGGCATAACTTAGTAATTCCTAAGCAAGTGTTGCAGTGAATCCTCTATGGCGTCCATTTGGTTACTCCCAAGTTTCTGGTGCTTCAGCCGAAACCATCTCCACTGAAAGATGTTGTCCAGGTGAAAATGGTGTAAGCAAAGGGAGCGGTGAAGCCGCTGAGCTGGCCCGCGGGTAGAAAGAAGGGTTATTGAGGGTCAAACTGCCAAGGCTGTCTCTCGGGGTGGGGTGGGGGTGTGGTAGGGGACAAGGGGGACAGAGAGAAGCAAGATGGTGGGAAAAGCAAGTGGATTTTATGTGACAGTCAGAAGGGTGGCTTTGAGCTGATGCAGGCTATTCAGGTTAACTGGGAATTAGATGTTCTTGCATTAGATAGTTGACCTTTGGGGACAGATTCAGAGACATTCCTGAGGAATGGTGAGTTTAAACTTCCATTTACCCAGTTACAGTCCTTCTGCTCACAAGGTCTCTGACCTTGTGTCTGGGGTTTTGTTGCCAGCACTGCCATGGATGGGGTGGAGCGGTGGGGGCCAAACAATTTTGTCACTAGCACTGCCACTTTGACGTAACAAAACAGAGCCAGGTGACATTTCAGAAACAATGTGATATTATGAATTCCAAAAGGACAACTCTTCTAAATCTAACATTTTTAGGAATATTATCTCAGCTGACCCATGTAAGTTTTATACAGGATTTATGTGCCTGACCTTTAATTAGACGTAGGAAACATTTGTAACTGGATAAAACTGATGTCAAAGTTAAGTTCTCAAAGGGTCTTTTAGAGGATTCTGATCCCTCTCTCTTTTTTGTGTCATTACAGAAATGGAGCATCGGTCGGTTAAAAAGGCGGGCATTGAGGCACAGGAAATCAAAGGTTGGTCAAGGTGCTCTTTTAACTGTGAAACCAAAAGCTGTTTTGTTGGATTATTTTTGGCTCTTGATTGCAGCTTAAAAACTATCAGGCTAAAATCACATAATGTGGTAGATTATCCATGACCTCTGCCTCACGCTGAGCCCTTAAACCTACAGGGTGTTGCCACATCTCTTTACGATACAGGAAGTTGTCGTTGGGCCCTCCAATCACTGATTCCCAGTAACAGACTGTGGATGCAGGTCTAAGAAATCGCTAACTAGTGAGCCAGAGATATACAGAAAGGAAAATATTTAGCTAGTCATACTTGGAAGTTTTGTTGATCTTACTCAAGAAAAAATGATTTTTCTGACAAGCTTG